CTGAAGAGTAATCGCCAACGTCAATTTCCAATGAGGGCTCCTCTCCTACAGTGACACCTATTTCCTGTGAATGTGAAAAGGAGTATTTAAAAATCTTTAAAAGCAGCCATGCCTGGTGGCGCACACCTTCAATCCAGCACTGAGGGTGAACAGTGAATGTTCCAAGGAGCTGTCTGGCCACGGCTGGTAAGCACGGGAGTCAAAACAGACGCCAGGTCTCTGGTGTTGAAGCTGGAGCTTGCCCTGAGCAGGCAGTTCCCTCTTCAATGACAGCAGTTTCTTAAGAGCATCTGGAGCCAAGAATCCCCCAGAGTAGGACTGATTTGAGGGACAGGATGTGCATCTGTTATGATTTGAATGTGAAATGCCCCCTCACATGTGTGAACATGTGGTCCTCAGCTGATGGTACTATTTGGGAAGGTTGAGGAACCGTTAGGAGGAAGTGGGCCACTTGCGGGTCGGCCTGGAGGTTTTCTAGCCCCGCTTCACTTCCAGCTCCCTCTCTGCTTCCTGACCGTTGATTTGATGTCCCCAGCCTCCTTACACTCCTGCTGCTCTGCTTTCCTGCTCCATGATGGACTGTATCCCCTAAAAGTGTGAGACAAAATAAACATTTTCCCTTTACATTGCTGCTTCTCAGGTATTTGGTCCTGGTGATGAGTAAAGAATAGAGCACCCTTTCCTAGAAATGCCATGGAGAAAATACCAAGTGTAGGACTGGCAAGGATGTCTGAGGAAGGGCTCAAGGATGGCCTGTCTTCAGCCAGCAGTGAAGGAGCAATGCCTTGTGACTAGCCACAGCAGGTTAGAGCCTGAGCAAATTACTCCACCTTCCCTTTACTGGTGTTCCCAATAACCTTGAGAATAAAAGCCACAAGCAGCAGCTCCATGGGGCTGTGGGGTCAGGTGGAGAATGTTCGTGAGGAGCTCAGTACAGGGCACACAGTGCAAGAAAAGTCCTTAATAGACATCCTTCACACTCATCCTGAAAGGAACATAAGGGTCCTCGCCAACCAATGGGAGCGGGGATCAGCTTATGTAACCCAGGCAGACACAGCGTGAAGAAATACTTGCCAATGTAGTCAAGCAGTCACATGACAGATTTGCATGTGCTTGTTCTTTCCATTTGTTCAGGAAAATTAGGCAATGCTTGAAAGTGATTCTGAAGGAAATTAGAACAGAGTCCAGCATTCCCTGCATGTCAATGCCACGCGACCTCACAGCATCCCTCATGTTGATGCCACATGACCTCACATTGTCCCTTCATGTCACTGCCACGTGACCTCACAGCTTCCCTGCATGTCAATGCCACATGACCTCACAGCATCCCTCATTGTCAATGCCACGTGACCTCACAGCCACCACAGCCATTTGGTTGTACTAGGAAGACAATGCCCAGAGAGCCTCATTAAAACTTTCCTAACAACAGCTCTACCACCCACCACAACCATTTTCTTCTCCTTTCCTGTGAAGTTCCCCACCTTGCCTTGGAGTGGAAACCTTCAAATAAACTACATGAAAGTCTAATTAATAGCCATGCTGCCTCAGTTTCCTGCTTTGTTGCACACCTCAGTGAAATCTCACTGTGCTGAGAACTCACCAGATGAGAGTTCTCCAGCCCTACCTCACTTGTGTTTGTTTATTCTGCCATTTTCCTTCCTCAGAGGGAGCCAGCTGAAGCTCTCTAGAACACAGAATTTGTTTGAAATCCATCTCGCTCCCTCTAGTATGTGACCTCCCAGTTTCCTTTCAATGTGAGGTCTTTGAATGTGGTGCCACCCGTGAAACCAAAGGATAAATATTTATTTCCAAAGGAAATTGCAATCAGTTGGCCTAGAGGTCCTAACCCTAGAAAAACTAAGAGAGGGCAATATAGGGACCGTGTACCCAAACAGTGACTGCATTAAGAGATTTCTCCTCTTCTCCATGCTGGTTAATTGTCATACGCTTTCTGTGTTGTGACATATTGCTGTTCTTTTAAAGTTAGTCTAACAAAGCCCCTGCACAGGGGATTGTCTTGACTCCAACACACCTAAAAAAGTCACAATTCCCATGCATGCTGTCCCTCTCCAAGGTACTTGTGAAAATACCCATAGCCTGTCTGACTTCTGTTGGCTTTGGCTTTTGATATGAGACCTGCCCTCTAGCTGCTTTGTGTAAAGCAAACACTTTCTCTGGATGAATTTTTTGTATTAAAAATATGTGTTAGCAGTTAGTATCAGTTCTAATGAGGCATTTCTTTAAGGGTCTCATTGATAATGTCAAAGCCAGAAACAGTGAGCCCTGAGTGGAGAGCCTGGCCGCTGCATTTTGTTAACCCTGGTTAGCATGTTAGGCAGGTTTCCAGGCTTGACTGATAGAGCCCTTTCAGTACAAACCCTGGAAAACACTTAGGAGAAGAGAAGCCCGTGGAGGCACTCCGCCTGTAACACTTTAATACAGACATGCATCTGGTCAGCACATGCTGGGCTCACATCATGTCCACAGTGAGTAGCACTGCGGTCCCAGTGTCATTTGCCACAATCAATGATGGTACATCCTGACAACATTTAAGACAAATCAGACCAAGAACAATGTTCTCAAGATTGACGACTGAGAGGAAAACTCTTGAATTTTTTTCCCCCAGCAGTTCTCATTCCCACAATTCTTTCAATATGAGGAAGACTTAGAAGAGGAGAAACAGGCAGAGAAGGAAGCACAGCTCTGAGGTGGGGCAAGAGGTAGATGGAATGTATAAAAGCAGGTTCCACGGCGAGTTTGTTACCTTTCTTTCCCTCAGCATTCTGCCCCGTTGTCACGAATCTTCTAAATACAAGTGAGGTTGTCTTTTCCCTCAGCTGTTCAATTAATGTCCCAAATTAGGAAATACATTCCTTAGCCTTCTACATCCTCATCCTCCTCCTTGTAAAGATGTATTTATTTCTACTTTATGTACATGACTGTTTTACCTTACATGTATGTCTGTGTACCACTTGAGTGTTCTGTGCCAACGGAGGCCAAAACAGGGCGGTCAGATCTGCTGGAACTGGAGTTACAGACGGTCGTGAGCTGCCATGTGTGTTCTAAGAACTCAGAACCAGGTCCTCTGGAAGAGTAGCCAGTGCTCTTAACTGCTGAGCCATCTCTCAAGTCCCACTCTTCATCATTCTTATTTCATGCAAAATGGCATTAGTTCTGATTAGCAAAAATCCTTGATATGTAAACGTCAGCCACAAACTACAGCTGCCTTCAGAAAGTTACACCAATCCATGCCAATACCAGCTGACCCCCTGGGCCAACCAAGAGAAGTCCTCTCCCAGTCTTCTAGATGTGTTAAACAGACAGTGGCTGCTGTCTTTTGAATTTATGACCACAAACTACAGTGCAAATACCTTTCCAAGAAATCAGACACAAAATCTTATTTTTCTGTTTTTAACACTTCATTGAATCGGTAGCATATAGGAGTAATAAATGCTGCAAGTACAGCATATAAATGGCAATTAAAATTATATTATTTAGGTATATGGACTGCAAATAAAAATGCTTTCAGGGCAGTGGTGGGACACGTCTTTAATCCCAGCACTCAAGAGGCAGAGACAGGTAGATCTCAGAGTTCAAGGCCAATCTGGTCTACAGAACAAGACAGCCAAAGCTACACAGAGAAACCCTATCTTGAAGGGAAAAAAAGTAAAAAAAAAAATGCTTTCAGATAATAGACACTGTAATGAAAACTGCTTTTTGTCATTCAGCAATATGTTGTGAATATTTTTCCACATCAATGAATGCAGCTCTACAGATCTACGGCACACGGTAAAGCTTTGGATTACTTTCAAGTCACCCTTGTTTTAATTAATCATCTTCTGATGAACATTTAGGTTCCTCTGCCCACCCCCTTTATTCCTCTTTTTAAAATAATATTATAATAGCATCATATAGATCAATGAACCTTGAACTTTAATGTGAGAAAAGATCACCAGAGTATTTTTAAAGTATTTAAAGGATACAAGTGTCACATCTAGAGGCCCTGCTTGAATCAGGGAGGCCAAAGACCAGACCCCTGCATTCTGGCCTCACTGACGACACTGGTGGCCCTGGAAACTCACTACTTTGGGAAATACATATCTTACAGACTTCTCTACAGATTCCTTTTGGACAAGGGCTGGCTATGAACTCCAGCACTCTGCCTTGCTTACAGCTTTTTGTTCGTTTAAAAATAAAAGATTGGGTCCTGCAGGAAGGTAAGTGTTCTAAGGACAGACATATGCTTCCAAAGTTCACAGATAAACAAGGAAAGTCTGCTCAGGAGCCTTCAGAACCAGCCCTTCAGGCATCCATTGAGACATAAATCCTCCCCGAGAAGTCCTTTGACCCTTAGAGTAGAGAAGGGGCCGAGAGAACACACAGAGGAGAACACAGGAACTGCGTGTGTAGCTTGGAAAAGCTGGATCCTCAGAGAGAGGAGAGGTGCCCGGGGCTGCCATTTGCACAGAAGATTGCCACTGACATGGGGCACCAGATGAGGAACCTTTATTTCCAAGATCTTCTTCAATAACATGTTCATTTGATGAGAATAATGTTTCCACTCCAACTTTCCAGGGCTTTAAAAAGTGAGAGTGAGGTTGGGTGTGGAGCTCAGTCGGTAGGATGTTTGCCTACCACGCAGGAAGCGCTAGGTTCGAGCCTCAGCTACTGCATAAATCAAGCATGTCATACACACCTGTAATCCTAGCAACTGGGCGGTGGGGGCGGGAGATCAGAAGTTTAAGATCATCCCCACATACCTAGTGAGTTCAAGACCAGCCTAAGATACATGAGATTGTCTCAGAAAAGAAAAAAGTGACGAAAAAGAATATAAATATTGCCGGGCGGTGGTGGCGCACGCCTTTAATCCCAGCACTCGGGAGGCAGAGGCAGGCGGATCTCTGTGAGTTCGAGGCCAGCCTGGTCTACAGCGCGAGATCCAGGAAAGGCGCAAAGCTACACAGAGAAACCCTGTCTCGAAAAACAAAAAAAAAAAAAAAAAAAAAGAATATAAATATTTCTCCCTACCCAAGGTCTGGCCATGCATGCTTACATTAGTGCACATGCTTACATTAGTGCACATGCTTACATTAGTGCACATGCTTACATTAGTGCACATGCTTACATAAGTGCACATGCTTACATTAGTGCACATGCTTACATTAGTGCACATGCTTACATTAGTGCACAAGCTTACATAAGTGCACATGCTTACATTAGTGCACATGCTTACATTAGTGCACAAGCTTACATTAGTGCACATGCTTACATAAGTGCACATGCTTACATTAGTGCACATGCTTACATTAGTGCACAGGCTTACATTAGTGCACTTACATTAGTGCACATGCTTACATTAGTGCACATGCTTACATTAGTGCACAAGCTTACATTAGTTCACATGCTTACATAAGTGCACATGCTTACATTAGTGCACATGCTTACATTAGTGCACAGGCTTACATTAGTGCACTTACATTAGTGCACATGTTTACATTAGTGCACATGCTTACATTAGTGCACATGCTTACATAAGTGCACATGCTAACCCAACAAAGTCCACACAGACTGCCCTGCTTACAGACTCCAAATTTCAAAACTAAGAGCGTCACTACAGAAAGAACAAGTAGGACTCTTCTAAAGAAAACATTGTTTCTTTCTTTTGGTAAGCATCACTGAAGTATGATACGCATGCACAGAAAACTGTCCAAATTTTAAATTTACAAACTCAGTCAATTCCCACTAAGTGAGCATGCTCACACAACCAGCGTCTGCATCGAGCAGTAGACCCAAGGGTCACCTGGTGCCCGTGCACAGTCACTCCTCTGCCCCATGTACTCACCATTCTGATTTCCAACGGTTTGCACACACACCAGTGAAGCTGTAAATTATGAGTTCCTAAATTTTACCGACCATTAGCTTAACTCTTCATGTCCTGTACAGACATGCTCCCACGTGGAAGAAGAGCTGTTCCCACAGAAGAACTTTAAGAGCCCTGCAGTTAGACAGCAATGTTGAGCCCACAAGTGTCCACAGTAAGGGGAGAAGGATCTGACCACAATTCCTTGCACATACCTGACAGGCAGCTCCAGAGGCTCTGTGATGCGGCACGACAAAGATGAGCATTACCACCATAAGGAGCTGTGTGTCTCTACATACCAGCCAGTCTGTCTTCGTGACGTATCCTTGCATATCCTCTCTTGGGCTCCGCCACTTCCATGTCCAAGAAGTGGGTGTAAATCATTCATTAACTGTTGGGAAAATTAAGTGAGATCACAAATACAAAGTCCTCGGCATGTCCTAGGTGTGCTATACACGTTTATTCTTTTTCCTTCAGACTAAATCTTGATTATCTTTTAGATTCAGCCTGGACAACACACCCTAAATATATTTTCAATGGCAACTATTTAAGCCACTAACTAGTGACTTTACAGTAATTTGGAAACCGGTTTGTGGTGTGAAAATTTTGTATCTGTTAACAGTGTTTTTCAGAGTCCAGAAAAGGCACCGTCATTCTTTGTAGGCTAGAATGCCTCACATTCTTTGTATATCTACCATGCTGGCTTGGCTCTTCATTTATTAATGACTCCCTCCATGAAGCCATTGTCATCTCAGCTTCCTGCAATAGTCCAAAAATGCTTGAAATTATCATTTCCAATATGAACTCGAAGACTCCAAACACCCATGCTTCCCCGGACATTATCGGTTTATTAACAGCCATTGTGCCCATCCATTTGGCCTTTTCAGTTAGACAGGGACACGGTTTCAAAACAATCATGTCGTTTCTGTATTTTCACCAGGATCTGTATTAAAAGCTCTGACAGATTGCTAATGAGCCGATGTTGGAATGACAGGATACTCTGTTATCGTGTGTCCATTCACAGTTTCCTCTCCAACCCATCTGTCCTCGAGACACACCCGCCATGGAGCAAGCAGGCTGGGACACTTTCTCCATTTACACCTTTGCCTGCAGAGGCTGCTGGGAAAGCCTGTCCCTAATTAAAGATCTTAACAAGCATATTGCTGGTGCTGTTATTAAACTGCTCTCTTTTGTTAGGGAAGGTGCTGGTTGTCAGCAGTTTGTAGATTTAGATATTTAATGTGTGTTTCTGTAGCCCAGCAAAATATTTGTGTTTTCAGAATAATTCAATTAGAACATTGTGCATGCAGCTACCTCTGCACCGTAAATACACACGGCACACATGCTATCAAAACCCTATAGAGTTATTTGGACTCATGACAAAGAAACATGGATGACTCTTATGGACAGACACAAGTTAAAGCATAAGTTATACAGCTTGGAACTGTAAACACAAAACGACCAGATTGAGATCATGGCTCATATTATTTTGAGCAAGGCCAAGTCTCTAGCTCCAGAAATATGTGTATTCTTAGGTCACGTTGAAAAGGAATCCAATTTCCCTGGCAGAAGGACTCAGCCAAGTGGGCAGCTGTTCCCTCGCTCTAAAGGCTCAACCGTTGGAACCAGTGTGGGTAAGGTTGGCGGGACAGGGGACCTGGGATCTGCAGCGGTCACATGCCCTTCCTCATCCCGCTATCAAATTTGAAGGCCACCCCCTCTTTGCAGTACACAGTAGAGATCAGAGAGAAGGAGAGATGGCTTGCCCTGAGCACTTACTGGCCTAGAAGAAGCTGCTCAGTGCCTGAGTCTTGGAAACAGGCTCGTGTTCAGATGCCCCACAGTGAACCCAGTTTGGTGGGGGACCTCTGGTAATAAGCCACATAAGGTTTGCCAGACGAAAGTGACCCTCAGCAGTACTGAGAGTCTCAAGCCTTCATCATCCAGTCAGGAATAGCAGCTCCCAGAGTCCATCACCTTGGCAATCAGAAGGTAGCTCTGAACGCTGCTTTCGAGTTTCTGCCAATGGCCAGTGACACAGGGATCCATGATGCATACTTATTTCCATGTGGAAACCTGGAGGCCACTTACTGAGCTTTCAGTATAGGTTGATGTCTTCATTTAATTAAATATTGGCAAATCTGAGGAACACTGCGCTAATCTTGAGGCAAAGTCCTTGTTCTGAATGGACCTGCATATTCAACAGCCAGAGTGCCTAACAAAACCATGGACTCTAGCTGATGCCATGGGAAGCCAGGCCTAATTGCCATGCGGCTGCCAGAGTTGCAGAGGCGTTCAGAGACCAGAGACAGAGAGAGAAAGAGAGAGAGAGAGAGAGAGAGAGAGAGAGAGAGAGAGAGAGAGAGAGAGAGAGAGAGAGGAAGGAAGGAAGGAAGGAAGGAAGGAAGGAAGGAAGGAAGGAAGGAAGGAAGGAAGGAAGGAAGGAAGGTCTTCTGCATGAGGCACAAGGGCTGACGAGATGGTTCCGCTGGTAAAGGTGCTTGCCACTGAGGCTTACGACCTGAGCTCAGTCCTCGGAACCTACATGGTGGAAGCAGAAAACTGACTCCTGAAAGTTGTCCTCTGACCTCCACATGTGTGGTGTAACGTGTGCATGTAAAAAAAATCATTTTATTTTATTTTTTGGTTCTTTGAGACAAGGTTTCTCTGTGTACCCCTGGATGTTCCAGGACTTGCTCTGTAGACTAGACTGGCCTCAAAACTCAGGGATCCACCTATCTCTGCCTCCAGAGTGCAGGGATTAAAGGTGTGCACCACCACACCAGGCAGAAAGAAAAATTTTAATTGTTAAAATGTGTAGGGTGTGGTTGAACAAAGAAGAAGGGACATTGAAGCTGGGAAAACACAAGAAGAAACATTTGTGTAGGGCCCATAGCAGGCTGCTCTGGAAGAAAGGCTTCAGGGCGCTCACTTGCTTTTGTTGTTAGCAATTTAGGTTAATTTTCTCATTTTATTTTCTTACTTTTTAAAGATTTATTTATTTATTATGTATACAGTGTTCTGCCTGCATGTTAGAAGAGGGCATCAAATCTCCTTATAGATGGTTGTGAGCCACCATGTGGTTGCTGGGAATTGAACTCAGGACCTCTGGAAGAATAGTCAGTGTTCTTAACCTCTGAGCCATCTCTCCAGCTCTATAATTTTATCATTTTAAAATTGACTTATTTTTAGAGTCACCCTAAGGTCACAGAAAAATTAAGAAGAAAGCACAGAGAATTCATTCTCCAGTGCTCCTTGTAGTACGACCATCTCCCAAGAGTGTGGCATGTGTATTACAACTGAACCCGTAATGATACATCGTTACCACCTGAAGTGCATCAGCCTTCACTCTTAGATTCAGACAGAGATTTCACAGATGCATAATGACATGGACCCACCATTATGGTGTCAAGTAGAAGAGTTTCATGGCCCTAAAGCCCCCCCTGCTCCCCAGTTGCTCCTACCTGTGACAACCACTAATCCTTCCACCACACCCATGGCTCTGCCTTTTCCAGAACATCATATGGTTGACGTCATACAGTGTAGACTTTTCATAGTTGCTGCTTTCATTGAGTCCCATGCATTAAGTTTTCCCCATGTCATTTCATGGTTTGATAGCTCATCTCTTTTTCAACACTGAATAATACTTTATTGTCTGAGTGCACAGCTATGCATTTAACCATTCATCTGCTCAGAGATGACTTCCAAGTTTTAGCAATTATGAATTGCTATCACTGTAAACAGCCATATGCAAAATTGTGTGTGAACATAATTTTTTAACTCTTGTTGGAAAATGGAGTGAGCACAATTGCTGGATCATACAGCCACAGTATGTTTAGTTTTGCAAACACGTCACCAGGCCATCTGCTAGGTAGCTTCACCATATTGCTTCATCATCTGCAACAAGTGACAGATGCTGTTGCTCCATGTGCTTGAGAGCATTTGGTGTTGTGGATGTTTCAGATCTAGCCATTCTAACGGATAGTTATTGCTAGAATTTCTAAAAGGTCTTTTAATAAAAAACCCAGAGCCAGATACTGAGGTAAATGCTGAAATATCAGAGAGACAAAGGAACAAGCTACAGCCATCTCTTACCACTAGGACTCCTCAGCTTTAGTTCCTTCTACTCACACCTTACATACCTTTCTCTGCCCACCTATTTCACTTCCTTCCTAGTGCTGGGATTAAAGGTGTGTGACTTCCAAGTACTGGGATGAAAGGTGTGTGCCACCACTGCCTGGCTCTGTTTCTCTCCTAGACTGAATCAATCTCATGTAGTCCAGGGTGGCTTTGAACTCACAGAAATCCAGATGGATCTCTGCCTCCCAAGTGCCAGAATTAAAGGTGTGTGCCACCACTGCCTGGCCTCTATATTTAATCTAGTGGCTTGTTCTGTCCTCTGATCTCCAGGCAAATTTTATTAGGGTACACAATATATTATCACGTTTCCCCTTTTTTGTCTAAAATAATAAAAGAAGGTTACAACTAATATAAGAAAAACTATATACAATAAGTATATATAACATATACAGTCAAGAATTAAACTAACAATGTCCAGTCCATTAACATTTGACAAATTCAGAGAAAATACTTTATTATTTAACCTATTTTGGTGAGTCCAAAATGTACCTAATTCACTTTCTATCCTAACTTGTATTACCAACTGAAAACACCTTTTGATGTCTTTCAAACTTAAACATTTTACACTTCTTTAGTGAGTTTCTTTTCTGAATTTGTTAACAAGGAAAACTATAACTAACTAGTCTTCAACTCCCTCAGAGACCCAAGAAGGAAATAATATTTACTGAGTAAGCAGGAAGTGCAAACAAGCAAATGTGAGAAAATGTGAGAAATGACAGAAACAGCTAGCTGCCTGAACAGTCATCCAAGGTTCCTTTATAATGTTGGGACATCCATCTTCAGCCTACAGGCCTAGCATAGCTGACAGACTTATTTGTGAAGCAGGATTTTCTAAAGGGCCTTCCTATCTTATCTTGGCAAGGTTTGTGTCCTGCTTGTCCATTTTGGACAGCATACTGTCAGCAGTCAAGGCAAGGTCACTTTCTTGCCCATTGGCTAACTTTTGCCACAAAGAAAGAAAACTCCATATGGTGTTTCTTCAGTGTCCATCATCTTCTCTGAAGTAGATTGGTGCTACCAGGAGCAGACATGTCTCATAGTCATAAAAAAATCTATGTTATTAAGACATCTTAAAATGCCATATTCTGTAGATTGCTGCAGTGTTTGAAGATGACCTGTCTATCTAAAATATATCTGTTTGACCTTGAAAACATACCTAACCTGACAAGTTCCATTGTAATAGGTGACTAACAACTAAGCTGCATTCCTTTATATCCTAAATAGTTGGTAATAATAACTTTCAAGGACTAG